GGAAAGAAAGGGAATAACGCCGAAACCGGTTTGGCTCAGTGGTAGTGCGTCGGTCTGCGGACTGAAAGGTCCCAGGTTCGATTCCGGTCAAGGGCATGTACATTGGTTGCGGGCACATCCCCGGTAGGGGGTGTGCAAGAGGCAGCTGGTCGATGTTTCTCTCTCATCAACGTTTCTAGCTCTCTATCTCTCTCCCTTCCTCTCTGTAAAAAATCAATAAAATATATTAAAAAAAAAAAAAAAAAAAAAAAAGAAAGAAAGAAAGAAAGACAGGGAATAACTTCAGGGAGTTACACTTCAAGATCCACTGAAGTGCCCTAACCAGTGTAGCTCAGTGGATAGAGCATCGGCCTGTAGACTAGAAGGGTCTTTCTCCCAGATATGCATTATATAAAATGCCTACCCCCCAACTTTACCCTGGTTCCCTACCCCAACTCAACCAGGCATTTGCCATCTTCCTTTCCCTCCTTGATGTTCTTTCATCACCTGACATTACACATTTGTGTGTTTACTTGCATATTATTTGGCTCCCCCAACTAAAATGAGTGCTTCATGAGGATGGATCATGTTATTTTTACCGCTGGATTCCCTGCCTATATATTTAGAAATATATATATATATATGTCTAAAGTAGGTCAACCATGAAAACACGGCGGCGGGGGTGGGGAATGAGTTGCAAGCATTGTCCATTCAAGCAAAGCCCAGGGAAACAAGGAGTCTTAGTCAAAGGAATATAATATTAAAGTCCCTATGGTAAAAGATTGCAAAAAAATGTCCTCTCTTCTTCCCCTTCTTGGATCTACGTTCTTTGTAACGTGATGATGTTGCTTCTCCCATCAAGAAGTGGAGTCTACTCCCTATTCCTTCACTCTGGGCTGGCCTTGTGACTGACTTTTGTCAACAGACAAGGATGAGATGGCAGCATGTCAGCCAAAATCTTGGGCCTCAAATGCAAGTGTCTGCTCTTTCTTGGACTCTGACCTTTCATATGTTGGGCTCACCTGTTGGAGAATGAGAGACCACATGGAGCAGAGTCAAGTCATCCCAACAAGGCTATCCTAACGCAATCAGTTCTTGGCCACCCCATCAGCAGGCCAAAATCACATGAGCATAGCCAGAGGAGATCAACGAAGCACAACCCAGATCCTCTGCTCAGCCAACCCATAGACATGTGAGAAAATATTAAATACTTGCTGTCTGAAGCCACTAACTTTTGGGGTAGTTTGTTCTGTCGTCCCAATAGCAAGATCACCCATAACATGTGTGATCAGTCCTTAAAGTGGGCATCTAAGCTCTTTGCTCTGATTACATGTTTACCAAGGAAACCTTCTTATGATGTAGTTCTCATGAAGCAAAGTCTGCAGGAAGGAGACACACCAGCCACGCCACACAGTGCCTAGGCCATTGCAAATCAATAAAATGGCATTGTCAATAGAATGGCAGCACTGTTATGTGACCCACAGAGACAGATCAGGTTTCTGAGGCTGCAACACTAAAAGCCAGATCTTTTTTTTTTTTTTTAATGTATTTTATTGATTGTTTACAGAGAAGAAGAGAGAGGGATAGAGAGTTAGAAGGATCGATGAGAGAGAAACACCGATCAGCGGCCTCCTGCATACCCCCTTCGAGGGATGTGCCTGCAGCCAACATACATGCCCTTGACCGGAATCGAACCTGGGACCCTTCAGTCTGCAGGCTAACGCTCTATCCACTGAGTCAGATCAGTCAGGGCTAAAAGCCAGATCTTGGATGGGGTAGATTCACAGAGGTAAATGTTACATTCTGAGGTGGCCTAGGGGACTAGACCTAACCCAGCCCGCCATCCTGGCCATGACCCAGCCCCACCACATCCTATGTCACAGAAACTTTTGACGGAGTTCTCAAATATCCGGCCCTATATCCATCCAGGAAATGCTCCGCAGTAGCCCTACATACGGCACAGGGATGCAGTATCTATTCTGTGGGTAGAGTTCTCAAATCCCAAAACCAGGCTCTTTGGAGGAACAAAGTCTCAAAGGGGCAGAGCAGCAAACTAATCCTCCTATTAAGCCTAGAAGCTCAAATAAACTCATCATATGATATTATATATATATGCATTCCGCGGTACACCCAAGGTCTATGCATTTCCAATTGATTCCAACACCTTCCCATAAGCATAGAGACTATTATTTCCCTCAAAGAAAAATGAATAACATCTAGCGAGGACAATAGCTGCAGGACTATTCAATAAAGGTGACCCTTCCTTTCACTGTGGGAGAGAAAGCACAAACATACCACAAAGAACCGAAATGCCCACAATGCTCTTTCTCAGACAGCTGCCTGACTCACTCCGGCATTTCCCCAGGGGTCTAGTCAAATGTCACTTATCAGCAAAGCCTTCCCTGACCAAGCTGCATAGGAATAACAATCCTCTGGCAGCACTCCCAATTCCTATCACCTTACTTTATGTCTCTCCATGACAATGCATCATCGGCTGATACACTATCTAGATACTTACTTGTCCAGTATCTTACATGCACACACAAGTTAAGCTCTTTGAGGGGCTTTATTTAGTTCAATTCTGCATTCCCCTTACATAGGGAAGTTACCTAAGACATAATAGGTACTCAATGAATGAACTGCCATTAAAAATTTTTTGTTGTTGTTGATTTCAGAGAGGCAGAGAGAGGGAGAGAGAGAAATATCAATGATGAGAGAGAATCACTGATCAGCTGCCTCCTGTGTGCCCCCCAATGGGGATCGAGCCCACAACCGGGTATGTGCCATGACAGGGAATGGAACTGTGACCTCCTGGTTCATAGGTCGACGGTCAACCACTGAGCCATGCTGGTTAGGCTGAACTGCCTTTTTTTTTTTTTTTTTTTTTTTAGCACCTGCTTGTGCCAAGCATTTTATATCTGACAATTATTTCACAATGAACAAATATTTCTATGTCCTTATTATAACAACCTATTGCTATCTCCATTTGACAGATCAGGAAAACCAAAGCTCAAAGAGAGCTAAGTAACTTTCCCAAGGCACTCGCCTCGGTCTGTCTGATCAGCAACAGCCCACACTTCCTGCCCTGTGCCAGCAGCCAGCGTTTCAAACACCTTATATGATGGTTTAAGTGACAAAACGCATGTGAGGCGCATCTCTGGCAAACACACATGACACGAGAGCTCTTCGTTCTATCGTTTTCATTGCTCTTGACCACCATGGCTTCTGCCCAGGATGAGACATCCGGGAGCCTGGATTTCCATCTCCCAGTGAAGACCCCTCGTGCTGGCGTTAGCTCCCCTTTATCCTGCCCACTCAGAGGCAACATCAGAGCGTTCCTTTTAAACTGGACTGGGACATGCAGATAAGTCAGGGACCCTGGCGGGGGGGTGGGGAGGAATCAGTTCACCTCCTCTGAGAGCTCCACAGAATTTTCCAGGATCCCTGCTTCAAAACCTTCCTGGACCTGAGAGTTAGGAAGAGAATCCACTTTAAAGATATACATAAAACAAAAAAACCACAGCCTGACCTGCATGGGGTGCCTTCCTCCTTTGGTGTCAGCCTGTATGTGTGTGTGTGTCTTCTGAGATCTGACCAGATGCCAGCTCTGCACTGACCTATTAAAGCCCTGCAATCCAGAGGCAGCGATGTTGACGGGTAACGGAATGATATGGGTCACAGACAGGCGAGGGACCCAGTCCCTGCTGACATCCATGCCCTGTCTCATTGACGAGAGCATCGTTTAAAAAAATAATAATAATAATCACAGTCCCGCTTCCTCTCTGCTTGCACCGCTCTCTTCCCACACTTGCATGCCTGAAGGTATCACACTCACTAATCCAGGTGGTTGCCCGCACAGGGTGTGAGCTGTAGGGGTTAGGGTTTGGACTGTGTTTATGTCACCTCTGCAAATCGCCCCCTTTCCCCCCACCCCAAGGACTAATCTGGCCTCTGACATAGGCCAGGAGTCCGGTGAGTATTTGCTGACTCAAGAGAAATGCAGAATGTGCCTGTCCTGTGTCTGCTGCATGGGCTGGAGCAAACAGGACCAAGCAGGCTCCTCTCGGGGAAACATAGAAGAGACCATTGCTGGCCAGAAGGATCCCTGGCAATGCCCAGATCACCCCCAACCACACACACCTCTCATCCCTATGGCCGCTCCCTCAAACCTCAAAGCCACCCACATGTACCTCCCCGACAGGCCTTTGAAAAAAATAAAAATAATAATAAATACATAAAAAAGAGCAGGCATTCTCCAGCGCCCCACCCTATCCCATTAGAGCCCAGGGTAGACCGTTAAGTTACCTGGAAGCAGCGAGCTTGCCTCTCTGATGTGCAGCGAGAGGTCTGTTTCAGCAGCCCGGCTGCTGGACAGCAGAGCAAGCTATGGAATACGGGTCTGCAGAAGGAACAGCAGTGCCTCCCTGGCTCCTCCCCGGCTAAACGCATTTCATTTGCTCACCCATCCCCTGCGGAACAAATCGTGTTCTCCTCCAGCTACAAAACAAACCCTCCGCGTCCCTAAGAAACCGCTCCCGCTCCCTCGGAGGGCGCCCTCCGCATGCAGCAATGCGCACGCACACACCCGAACCCGGAGCCGCTAGGTGTGTGCATGTGTTTTTTTTTGTTTTTTTTCCCCCTCTGTTCTCTTAACAACAAACCAACAGCAGCGACCAACAGCCATCCCCTGGGGATCGAATGCAAACTCAGAGCCGCTGGCTTAGGGAAACGGAGTTAGCACAAGTTGCAAAAACTAGGCGAGCTCGTAGTTCACACAGGGTGCTTACCCGGGCCCTTTGGGGATTGCCACCTTCCCAGAAGCGCGCAGCCTTGCGCAGGAGGGCAAGTCCTTGCTTTTTTCCAAGATCCTCCCTCTCCCTGTCTTTCATGCCCTTTAAGACCTACACTCAGAGGTACCAGCGTGTCTGTTTCAGCTGTTTCAGCTCCACCAGGCAAGCCTGGGATCCCCCAGTCCCCGCATCCCCTGCGGGTCTGGCGGAGCGAGCGGCGCCATCCCCTACCTGGATGGGAAAAATCCGCGGGCGGAAATCCACGAGCAGGCGATCGCCACCACCGGGTGCCCGAGGAGCAGCGTCCGCCCAGGCGATCGGGACCCAGGCAGGAAGGAGCCCGCGGATGTCACACCTGCAACACAGCGCCCACGCCGCCGCCGCCTCCGAGCCCGCCCCGCCCTGCGCAGCGCTGCAGCGCCCGCCGGCTCCGAGCCACCACCGGGAGGCGAGCGGGCGGGCGGGCGGCTCCTGGATCTCCTGGTCGGTGGGATCCGATGCTAACCCGCTTGCTTCCTTCCGGGCAGGAGCCTGAACCGTGTGCGCTGTGGGCAGGCAGCTCTCCGCTGCAAATCCCCTTCTGATTGCAGGCTGGGTGCTTGAGGAAGGGAGCCACCAGGGTGCCAGGGTGCCAGGCTTCCCGCATTGGCAGACCCATGGATGTTAGTTCAACTTCCTGTGGCTCGAGTTTCAGAGAATTCTCATCAGCAGTGGATGATGGTAGTCATCTCTCTTGGGTCTCCTCTCTCTCTCTCTCTCTCTCTCTCTCTCTTTAAATATATTTTATTGACTTTTTTACGGAGAGTAAGAGAGAAGGATAGATGCCGAAACCGGTGTGGCTCAGTGGATAGAGCGACAGCCTGCGGACTGAAAGGTCCCAGGTTTGATTCCAGTCAAGGGCATGTACCTTGGTTGCGGGCACATCCCCAGTAGGGGGAGTGCAGGAGGCAGCTGATTGATGATTCTCTCTCATCGATGTTTCTAACTCTCTATCCTCTCTGTAAAAAATCAATAAGATAGGCCGAAACCGGTTTGGCTCAATGGATAGAGTGTCAACCTGCAGACTGAAAGGTCCCGGGTTCGATTCTGGTCAAGGGCATGTACCTTGGTTGCGGGCACATCCCCAGTAGTGCGTGTGCAAGAGGCAGCTGATCGATGATTCTCTCTCATCGATGTTTCTAGCTCTCTGTCCCTCTCTCTTCCTCTCTGTAAAAAATTAATAAAATATATATTTTTTAAAAGTGTGTATATATATATACACACACATATATATTTTTAAAAATCAATAAAATATATATATTTTTTTAAAAAAATTTTAAAGAGAAGATAGTTAGAAATATAAATGAGAGAGAATCATTGATCAGCTGCCTCTTGCACACCCCCTACTGGGGATGTGCCCGCATCCAGGGTACATGCCCTTGACCGGAATCAAACCTGGGACCTTTCAGTCCGCAGGCCGACGCTCTATCCACTGAGCCAAACCGGTTTCGGCGGGTCTCCTCTCTTGGATCCCCATTCACCATCTCCCAACTAAGACATGTCAGAGGATGGGACTCATTCTGGGGGAGAAGGATCCTCCGATGATGGCCCCATCCCCCAAAGCATCTTCGCTAATGGAGGTCATAAAATCCCTCTGTCCTTCTAAATGCATAAGGGAAATGGGAAAATAGCCTGCTTGAGGAGTGCAAAGGAGGAAGTGGTCGAGGCCTAATGCGTTCAACGAAGTCTCCCTCCTTCCAGCCCCACTCCCCCTCCTCCACCCACAAAAGAGACCAGCAAAGCCCCGACCGGTGTGGCTCAGTGGATAGAGCGACAGCCTGCGGACTGAAAGGTCCCAGGTTCGATTCCAGTCAAGGGCATGTACCTTGGTTGCGGGCACATCCCCGGTAGGGGGTGTGCAAGAGGCAGCTGGTCGGTGATTCTCTCTCATCAATGTTTCTAACTCTCTATCCCTCTTTCTTCCTCTCTGTAAAAAATCAATAAAACATATATATATATTAAAAATAACACCAAAATTTAAAAAAAAAAAATGGGGGGGGGGAATAGCCAAAAACTGTGGGACCACTCCAAAAGGCATAGAACGCAATTGAGGAGAAAAGCGAGGGGGGATGAAAGGAACAGAATGCGCAAAGCAAAGCAATAATGACCGAGGCTGTTCCCAAATGAATGGCACAGACCCGGGAAGGTCAGAGAAGAGGCGAGACAAACAAAATACAGGCCGTGTGGCCCCCGAGAGACAAATTCATTGGACATATAAACTCCCAGGAGGGATTTTTCTGCCGAGATGGACTCACCATCGTCAACCCGGAGCCCAAAATGGAGGCGAGGGTGTAGCCGCCGCCATGCGCAGCCCGAGGCGTCCCGGGAAGCATCTCTGACAGAACTCCTTCCCGCCAACCTGCATCTTCCACTTGTCACTTGGAGACAGACCGGGCCCTGTCCAATCAGAACTGCTCCCTCGCGGCCAATCAGGAGGGCCCAATTCGAGATCCAATCAGAGGGAAGCCTAGAGCCTCATTTGCATAAACCCGAGCGGGAACTTCCTCCTCTCAGCAGAAGCGGTGCTTTTGGCTTCTCGGCTGCCCGCTGTGCAGATGGGCGCCTGAATAAACCTTCCTTTTTTTCAGGCAGAAAACCCGAAATGAAGGAAACATCTGGAAAGAAGCCTAAAAGGGTAAACAGACAGACAAACAAACCCCTCCACCGGGAGCAACATGGAATGCTCCGTCCAAGTTCTCGTCAGAAACCGGGCGCCCAGAAGAGGGGGGCGTATTTGACGTGTGGAGAGCAGAACCAACACCAACCTAAATGTCTATGTCGGGAGAAATTATTCATTGAAAAATTATTTAAAAAGCCAAGAACTGATGCTTTCTCAGGCAATCAGGACCACCAGAGGGGATGTGTTGTTGCCAGTGGCCTTGCCTTTGTGTATAAGAAGTTTCTCGGGGAGAAGGAGTTGGTTTGAAACCCGGAGCTTCCGGGGTGCCCTCAGGCCGTGACCCCCACATTCGCGGAACAGGACAGAGGAGGCCCTTCCAGGCCCGGGGGGGACTCCATAAGGAGCATCATCTCAGAGAAGGAGCTCTTGGCACCCGCAAGCGGGGTCTTATGGATCCGGAGGCCTTCTCGGGGTTCAGTGCACACTGGCCAGAGGGTCTCAGCACCCCATTGCTCTCTCCAGGCTGCATCCTTGGAAATGACACCCACCGTGGGAATGGCTAGTGGACAGATCATCCAAGGACAGGGGAGCAGAGGAGGGTGCTCCAGTGATCTGGATCTTGCTCGATTATCCGGGTCCAGCTCAATTATCCGGGTCCTGCTCGATTGTCCAGGTCCTGCTTGATTATCCGGGTCCTGTTCGATTGTCCAAGTCCTGGTTCGATTATCTGGGTCCTGCTCGATTATCCAGGTCCTGGTTTGATTATCTGGGTCCAGCTCGATTATCTGGGTCCTGGCTCGATTATCCAGATCCTGCTCAATTATCTGGGTCCAGTTTGATAATCCAGGTCCTGCTCGATTATCCAGATCCTGTTCAATTATCTGGGTCCAGTTTGATTATCTGGGTCCTGGCTCGATTATCCAGATCCTGCTCAATTATCTGGGTCCACTTTGATTATCCAGATCCTGCTCAATTATCCCGGTCCAGCTCGGTTATCCGGGTCCTGCACGATTATCAAGGTCCTCCTGGATTATCCGTGTCCTGGCTCGATTATCCGGGTCCTGGCTCGATTATCTGATCCAGCTGGATTATCCAGGTCCTGCTCGTGGGCCACGGACAGTCATGGCGGCCTCTCAATGAACAGGAGGAAATGGACACAGATCAGACATTCCCGCCTTGATCAAGAAAGGGAGAGAAGGAACAAATGAAGGTAAATAAAAACTTTTCTTATTCTTCTTAATCAGATCGATAACAGCTTGTAAAAAAGAACAGCAGCAAAGATATGTTTGATTATGTATGTTCACTTATATATAATGCATGGTATATATTTAATACATAAACAATAGCACATATAAGCTTTTTTTACTTTTTGGTTTTTTTTTCTTTTTTACAAACACCTACCATATTTTTCGGACCATAAGACGCACTTTTTTCCCCCCAGAAGTGGGGGGAAAAAGTCCCTGCGTCTTATGGTCCAAATATAGCCTACACATATACTTTTTTAAAAAAAGTTTTTTTACTTGCCCGGCTCTGTGTGGTCTCTGTGTGCTTGCCCGGCTCTAAAATGGTTCTAAATGCTGCTGTTTACAGGGTTGATTACATGTGTTTATGACTGTGATGTTGGGTTTTAATGCACATAAAATATTTTAGGACACTATTTGTTTCAGAATCTTTTTTTCTTCATTTCCCTTCTCTAAAAACTGGTGAGTCTTATGGTCCGGAGTGTCTTATGGTCCAAAAAGTACGGTATATTTATGTCTATATACTAGTAAATGCGATGAAGAACAGCAATGATGCAAAGTACAAGCAAGGGGCAGGAGGAAGGAATTAGGAATATCTGGTTGCTATAAGATAATTGCACTACCCATAAAGCGTTATTGTTATTTGAAAATGAACTTGGATTAGCTATCAATATATATTACAAACTATCTAAACCACTAAAAAAGTATATATATGTATAATTGATATGCTAAGAAAGGAGAGGAAATGTAATCAATTAAAATGCTCAATTAAAACTACAGCCCTAGCCGGTTTGGCTCAATGGATAGAGCGTCGGCCTGCAGACTCAAAGGTCCCAGGTTCAATTCCGGTCAAGGGCATGTACCTTGGTTGCGGGCACATCCCCAGAAGGGGATGTGCAAGAGGCAGCTGATTGGTGTTTCTCTCTCATCAATGTTTCTGGCTCTCTATCCCTCTCCCTTCCTCTCTGTAAAAAATTAATAAAATACATTTTAAAAAAAAACATTGAAAAAGTGGATTGCAACCCTCCAGTATTGGCATCCAGCCTGGGTCTCTCCTTCTAGCCCTCCCACCCCATAACCCAAAGGGCAGTGATAAATGTGACTTCACGGCCCTCTTATGCACAATGCAGAGCTTAGTGATTCAGAAGGGATTGATGCTCTCTTAAGTGTTCCCAGCAGAGTCAGTAGCAGGGCATGAATATTTCATGACTTTTCTGCTCACGTGTGAGGACAACTCAGACTGGACTTCCTGAGGCGCAGGGAGAAGGCAAGGCTTATTGGAGATGGCAGCTTCCTCTCTGAGCGCAAAGAGGGATCTCGTTTCACGTCCACGGGTCATCCTAGACTCTGAGACATGGGTTGGACACCAACATGTGTGTTTAGCCAGGAAGCATGTTTCCATGGTAGTCTTATGTTCCTGTGTCTGCCCTTCTTCCCCCGCCCAGCGTGTTAAATCCACTGTGGGCTTTGCCCATCTGCAATGCAGCGGGGGCCTCAGCTGCTT